GCGTCACTGCAGGCGTTCGGGTGAGCTCATCAACAGAAATCTAATTATTATGTGTAAGGCCAAGCTTAATTGCTTGTCCTTGACATGAATAATGCACCACCTAAGCCTATTACGCAGCGTAAGCCTCTTATTATTATTATTATCATGCCCGCTGTCAAAAGTGGAGAAGTCAAAGAGTCCGAGCGCGGCGGTGGAGCCGCTGGGAGGAAGGCGGCCGGGGGGGGCCGGGCCGGGGTGCCCGCCGTGCCACGTGCTCCGGCGCCTCATTTGCTCATTAAGCGCCGCTAATGAGAGAAGCGGGATGCAGGAGCTGGCGGTGCCGCCTCCTGCGCACACACTCCTCCCGGACTTATCGCTCGTCACAGGATGTTTACAATAATTTCTAATTTGTGCAATTATTAATCATTTTTCTATCTGCCTCATTTGCATAATAATTGCTGTGCTCTGTGTTTGTCGTGCCTGTGAACGACAGTGCTTCAAATTAAATTAAGGTTTTAACAGTCCCCCTTTCTGCTCCCAGCCGCCCGACGCTGCCTCCCTGCGCCCACCTCGGCCCTCGCCCTGTGTCCAGCACCGTCCCCCTGCAGCCTGGGCAGCTTCCAGCAGCCTTGGGAAGCAGCTGCCAGGGAAGCAAAGCCGAGTCTGGGCTGACCGCTGAGGAAGGGACAGCCCAGGCTCTGCCCAGCAGGATGGCACCTACCTCCGCTCCTTGGCGGTTGCCACTCGTGAAAACAAAGCACACCAGCACACAAAGAGAAGTAAAAAACAAAGCTGGTATTTACAAGTGTCCACACCAATTCCAGATTTCCTAAAAACGTTAACACAGTGAGTAAAAAAACAGGGGGGAGTTGCCAAGGCTCGCAGACCGCAGGGAGAACTTGTCCTAACTCCTCGCACCCCTCTCCTCCTCTCGGGGCCCCTGCCCGCTGTGGCTGACGAGGGCTGCCCGCGGACACAGCAGCTCCCGTTCAGCGCCAGCTCCCGGGCACAGAAACGCCGGGAAGCCGCTGTGACAAGCAGGGCCCCAGCGCTGCTCCGCCGCCCTCCTCTCGCCCCTCGACGTGCAGCGAGCGGCTCCGGGCGCCGGCGCAGGAGCAGGACCCCGCGCTCGGCCCGGTGAAGATCGTACGGGCTGCTCGTTCCATCTGCTCGGCAGCAGCGCCCCGAGCTCCCCAGCGAGGCCATGAGGGAGATCGACACCAGCCCAGGGGCAAAGCAGCTCACGGTATCAAGCGGTTTGAGGGGACAGTCACTCCCTGGAAGAACTTGCTCACAGCTGAAACAGCAACTGAATTCTGGAACAGGCTGAACTACCGGACAAAGTAACTCCTCAGTGGCTGAGCTTTCAGCACGCTTTCACCATGAGAACACCTGAGATTTGGGGCACCTGAAAAACTCCTAACCACCTCAGGAGGACAAAGCATTTGGCAGAACACGACTACGCGGAGAGCTTACACAGTTGGCGCGAGGAGAAACGGACAGGCCGGGGCCCCGGGTGTGCGCA